CCCGCACGGGCCGAGCGGGCCCGCGGCGGCGCGCGGAGAGAGAGGACGCCGACGGGGACAGGTGGCGGCTCCTGGTTGGGCGAGGGTGAGGACGGACGCGTCCGGTCCGATCCAGACGTGTCCGGCGGCGGAGAGGGAGCGGATCTAGGGTTAGGGGGATTCATCCGCGAAAAAAGGAGGGGGAGGACCTATTTATAGATTCTGGGAGCTAGGAGAGTCCAAATAAGGTGCGGTTTTCGGCCACGCGATCGTGATCGAACGACCGAGAGCATGGAGGGGGTTAGTATGGGTTTTGGACCACTTTGAAGGGGTGCTGGGCTGCACACAAAAGAGGGCTTTTATGGTTACCCGGTTAACCGTTGCAGCATAGCGATAGAACGAAGCAACTAGCATAGCAATGATAGTAGTGAGATCCAAGGTGACGGTCATCTTGCCTGAAATCCTGCAAGGAAGAAGAACGAGTCCATGAAGAAGACGAACGGATGAATCCGAACCAAGCGTAGACGAACGAATCCTCACGATCGCAACGAAACGGGAACTACCGAGAAGAAGCACAGAACATGGTAAACACACCACACATATACATGACATGATGCTCAACCAAGCATGATGCATGACCAAGCTAGATGAGGCTACTCATGGCAATAGATGATGCATACAAGAACAACACATCAAGGCAAGTTTAAATGGGGCCGGAAGCAACATATAACAATTCCGGTACGTTCTCATATGCAAATTTAGAAATTGGTCCAGAAATGAATAAACCCTATGTTCAAGTTGTTAAGCAGTAAGTTAAGATGCACCAAGATGATCTACACGAGATTCTAGTCAAGTTACATATAAAGTTCATTAGATTCAGAGCTACGGACTAGAAGATATGAGCAAAACAAGTCAAACATGGCATTGATGCAAAATGCATACAAATATCAAGCAAACACCTCAAAGCAGGGATGCAACATGATAATATGAAACTATATGCAATTCTAAGCAAGTTTCATATAGAGCACATCAAAACGGAGCAACGGTTCAACACATGCACTCTATACAAGTTTAAAGGACAAGCTGTCCAAAACAGCAACTAGGCATCTAGCAAGAATCAAAACAATATGCTACAGCATCCCAACGTGAAAACAAAAGGAATGGACATGATGTACAGGTAAATCACAACAAAACATGAACACTGAGCTATCTCCAGAAATCACTAGAACATGCTCAAAAGGGCATGGCAAGTTTGCAAATAATAACAGTTTACAGACTTAGCAGGAATAACATCAGGTTGCAATGTTTAGAGCTATCAAACAACATGTTACAAGAAATTATCATGGCAAACAAAAGTATGGCATGAATCTACTAATTGCATATAACAAGAGTCCCTTACTGACCATGAGCCAAAAAGGCACAGAAGATATGATGGCACCCATGTAAACATGGCAAAAGATATGACAGATTCATACATGGTAGGAACAACAATAAGTAGGTAGGTTGGTGCACTTGAACCACTCACCACAGAGCAGTACATGGCATGGCAAGATGACCAACAGTAAGAATACATGTTTGCGAAGCTACACATGGCAACGTTGAACTTAATGTTAACAGGCTGACAGCAACATTTTTTAACAAGTTTGCAGCAAGATTGCAACAAGCTATAGCAGGCTATAAATGCAACCAGGGGCATGAATGGATAGAGCAAGACATGTACAACAAAACATCATTAGTGAACAACTCCAGATTATGCATAGAATGACTTGTAGTAGTAGGTTTATATAGCATCGTGTTGTAACAGATTCAGCCTAGCAAAACAGTAACAGCAAGTACACTACTTAACAAGCTCGATGCACTCAGTACAAGACTCACAAAAATACATGGATTGCACCTCTGAAAAGATGGCATGATGTAGCTCAACACTCGTGTAGACATCAAGCTCATAGGATGCACACACAAAATGCAATGAAAAAGACAAAACAGCAAGTTATAACAGTTTCAGCATGTTAACATCACATAGCACTCTTGCAACGATGATTCGGGCATCAAGATGACCTCAAACAAACATGGCACAACGGAATGAAATGAAGAGCATCTCACAACGAACAATTTGATATACTACACGCCCAAAACGGAGCCACAGATGCGGAGTTATGATGCGATGAACAGGAGACAAAAATGCAAATAATTTCGAGCCTTAGGGAAAAAAGGAGGGGTCAACCTTCGAGATCCAGATCTGGCGCGGGACCCGAGGTTTGTCGGAGCAGGGTCGTTGGAGTGGCGCGGAGGAGGCGCCGACAGGGTCGGGAACGGCGGCGAGGCGCTCCTGTGACGTCGGGGAACGGCGCCGGCGGAGGAGATGGACGAGGGGGCGCCGGATGGGGCGGATCCGGCGGCGGGCGACCAGATCTGGCCGGTCCCCAGCGCAGGGCGGCGCAGAGATGAGGCCGGCGGCCGGAGGCGCTGGATCCGCGGCGGACGGGGCGGAGAGGCTCGCTGGGCTTCTTCGGAGGCCGGGCACGGGAGGCGGCGCGGCGCCGGCGTGGAGGGCGGAGGCAGCGGGCGGCGGGCACGCGGTGGCCGGCGGCGACGGGGCAGGCTCGGGGGAGCGGGCCGCGGCGGCGGCGGCCGGGCAGCGGCGCAGACGGGCGACGGCGGGCGCGATGCGGGCCGCGGGGGCCCCGCACGGGCCGAGCGAGCCCGCGGCGGCGCGAGGAGACAGAGGACACCGGCGGGGACAGGTGGCGGCTCCTGGTTGGGCGAGGGCGAGGGCGGACGCGTCCGGTCCGATCCGGACGTGTCCGGCGGCGGAGAGGGAGCGGAGCTAGGGTTAGGGGGATTCATCCGCGAAAAATGGAGGGGGGACCTATTTATAGATTCTGGGAGCTAGGAGAGTCCAAATAAGATGCGGTTTTCGGCCACGCGATCGTGATCGAACGACCGAGATAGTATTCTAGCATGAATAATAAACATTATTATTGCCTCTAGTGTAATACAGTTCTAGCATGAATAATAAACATTTATCATAATATAAGGAAATAAATAATAACTTTATTATTGCCTCTAGGGCATATTTCTTTAGTATGTGTGCCAAAAATTGATCAATTATAAAATGTCATTATTACAACACGACTCGAAAAACGCTGATCCAAAACCACACTGAACACATCAACAGAAGAATCAATAGACGAACCCGGCATACGGCAAAAAGGACAAGCCATACCTGCAAAGAACACAATGATTATCAAGAACTAATTGCACAAACCGAGCTGAAAGTTGACATCTGATAATATTGGAAGCCCCCACCTGTAATTACCCGATAAATCTCGATCCCAGAAATATAATGAGAACAAATAGGGAAAAAAAGGAAACAGGGAACCAATGAATGCAACTGATAGGCAACGATGATGGTGCGAACGGGGAAGCGTCGTCGCGGTAAAGAAGGGCCGCCGTAAGCAGGAGACAAGAGCGGCGGGCGGCGAGGACGACAACAAAAGCCTAGTCGGCGGCGACGGTTTGACAACACCAAAGACAAACAGATCAAAAATGTATTACAAAAAACTAAAAGTACAAGGACTAAACTGAAAAAAAGGAAAAACCAAAAAGGAAAACCGGAAATAACGGGAGCGCCCCGGAAAAGTCTCACGAGCACTCCGTGTGTGACACTTGTCGCGTCCGGAGCACTCCCCGACTAATCGTTGCGGAGAGCGCTCCTCAACCAGTGATTTCGAAATAAAATTCAGTTGTTCGCAAAAGGAGAAAAAAATAAACTTACCTGTTGGGCCGCAGCCGCACTAAGTCGGCCCATCAAGCCGACGGTGCAGGCTAGCCAGCGTGTGTATGCGAGATTCTCAAAAAAGAAAAAAAGAAAAAAAAAGCCAGCGTGTATCTGTAGCATACGCGATATAGCACCGGAGTAGACCTGGCCATCCTCCGGGCCGGGCCGGGCTTCGGGCCGGACCTGACCAAGCCCGAGGTAGAAAACTCAGGCCCAAGCCCGGCCCGGCCCGGCCGTCGGGCCTAGTTTTCAGGCCCGAGCCCGGCCCATCACAGCAAAAAACACGTCGGGCCTCGGGCCGGGCCTCTTCAGTAAATGTCATAAACAGCGGGCCCAAGCCCGGCCCGACCTAGTCTTCGGGCTCAAAACCTAGGCCCAGGCCCGGCCCGGGAGCAGCGTCGGGCCGGGTCTGGCCGGGCTTTTTCGGGCCGGGTCGGGCCGGGCTGTCCGGGCCGGGCGGCCCATGGCCAGGACTACACCGGAGGTCACCCCGTGGAGAGGCAAACCTAGATCCCCAAATTCGCGCTGCATCCACGCCTTGCGCCGCAACAAACCCTAGGCCCCAAATCCGATCCGCGCCCACCTCTTGCGCTGCCTGCCATGGCCACCTCTGCCGCCGATGCCGCCGCCGCCGCCGCCACCGTTCCCTCGTATCCTGCTTGGGTTCTCCTCGAAAAGAAGGGCTACGACGACGAGCTCGACCGCGTCGACTCCGCCAGCGCTACGTCGGAGACATTCGGCGGTCGCGCCGTCAAGGTGGCCTTCTACCTCGTGCCTCCGCCGGAAGTCTCCTACTTCTGCTTCCACCTCTCCAAGCTCGAGGGCGACGACGACGACTTCGACTTCCAGCCACTGTTTCTCTTTTCAGCTAAGGGTTTCGTCCTCTTTCGTTTGCTCTTCATCAATCGAAGCGACAGAAGCAATCTCGTCGAGTACTTCATGTACAAGGCAGGGGGCGGCAAACCGTCGCTCGAACCTATCCCGTCAACTCCTCTAGGTAGCAGTTGCGATTCGATATGCTTGAGCATCGTTCCCTGCCCCGATGACGAGGACAACTATGTCCTTGCCGATCTCTCTGTGGGTAGGGACCTTGGGCACTACGACCTCCACGTTTACTCGTCTAAGACGCACCAGTGGAGCACCAAGCCGTTGCAGCTGCCGGAATCTCCTGCCGTCAGGACAAATGACGACCTGCCTTGTCAATTCAATAAGGTGCTCGTGCTTGGAGCAAATGAGTTTGGCTGGGTAGACCTCTGGCGTGGCATTGTCACCTGCAAGGTGCTTGATAATGACCCAGTTCTCCGACTCATCCCTCTCCCCAAACCTGAAATCAACAATCCCCATGTAATTGGAGGAGATGTGGAGTTTATCCGGGATGTCACCTACCGCAATGGGATCTTCAAGTTCATTGAGATTGATAATTTTTGCATACCAGCTATTGCTCGTGATGAGACTTCTAATATCATTTCCAAGACGATGCAGCATTTTGACAGCAACGATATCATACATGATTCGGAGCTCATCTATCCTGTTTTAAAGCAAGCGGAACCTATTATTGTCCCTGATGGTTGGAAGATCCAGTCATATTTTAGGTTTCCTTCACGGGACTATTGGCTCAGGACCCATGCTGTTCATGTTGATGAAATCTCCGAGTATGACCCAAAGTATTGTAAGGTGTCGCCTCAGTGGCTTGCTTTTGCTGAAAACTCGACATTGAGGAACCTGAAAACATATTGCCCGACCTTTGGCATTCATGGTGACAGTGTTGTCTACCTTTTAGCAAAGGTGAAACCTGAAGATTACAAGACATGGATTGTTGGTGTTGACATTGAAAAGAAGATGTTGAGACTAATTCAACCATATACTTATGCGGAAGGTGGCTATGCTCTACCAACGTTGCTTCCCTCTACATTCTCCTATTATCTGAATAATACAACTCCAGGTATTTATTGTGCATCTCACATGAATAGTGCTTCATACTGCTAGGTTTGCTTCTCTATTTGGTTCTGTAAGCTATTGTGCTTATGTTGCTACCTAGTCTTCTTTTGAGGTTGTTTGCTTATACTATTAGGATTCACAGTCTGCCATGGAAAACCTAATCAACCATATAAATGAAGCTAGCCAACATGTGAAACGAAAGAGGTGTTTCTCTTTTCTATGTAGAAGATCTCTAGGGAAGAACTTCTAATACTCTAAAAAATTCGTACTAAAGGAAAAAATGAGAACTGCGGGTAACTTTTCCAAGTACAACTGTAATTGCAGCAAGCCTTTTCTTATATTAATGGTCTTGGAAGAATTTATTACAGAATTTACACATCTGTGGAATAGTGTATGCAGTTCGTCACCTCAAACTACTATATAGACCACAATCTGTTTTACCACTGCATGAGTACTCCAAATTTACTTTGCATTCAAACATGTCCTGGACCATACTTTTGAATTATTGTGCTAAATCTGTTGTCCTGTTGCTGCTGAAACCCATGTTTCCAACTGCATTGACTTTATGAGTTTGTTAATGATTTTCATCATATTACAGGTCTTTTCCCATCCACAGAGACAAACTACTCTGAGAATGCCCTCAATAATGCAACAGTAAGTGACCTGTCCTTCCTTCCTCGTTTTGAATAATTTTATGACCTAACTTCCTATTTTTATGGTCATAGATCCATGGTGATACCTCTGTACCTGATTTGGGTTACGATCCACTGTAAGTTCTATATGTTTGGACAACTTTTTTACAGCGATGGTCCAAATTTGTTGATATAATTTCATATTTTTCTATTTTGTCATGATAACATTTGACAACTTCCTTTTCTTGTAATTTGCTCAAGATCATGTGCTGGGGAAGCCACATCTGCACCAAGAACATTGAATTTCGAGGAAACCAATCAGGTATGCTTTATTGATCTTTATGTTGTAGATGTGTTCATCTTGCCATCTCAATTCACTGATATTTAACTATTCTTGTACAGCCACTGAGTTCGAATGAATGTGGTAATATAGGGCAGACCATTACACTACAGTCCCTGCATGCCATTTTGACCTCATCAGGATCAGAATCAGGTAAACATTGATGATGCTTGTTCTATGGTATGGTGCTGTGTTTTTTTTACAAATTTTTGGATCTTCTTTACTGGTTGGTTGAACTTCCTTGCTGTGAGAGACCCTAAATTTGGTTGTCCCTCTTGACGGGTATCAGGAGTACCATTGCGCTGCGACCAAGACGCGTGGTTACACTTCTTATTGATTCTTTGGCCCGTGGCTGATTCCCATGATTAATGCAGCGTTTGTTGGCATCCTCCATGCATACCAAAATTCGCGCGTACTCCATCCTTTAAAGAGTACTTCCAACTTTGTTGGAAAGTCAAACATTTTTATGTTTGACTGTATTATACAATTGTACACCAGCATTTATGCCATCAAATTAGTAGCATTGGATTCATGATAATATATATTTTCATCATACTTCTATTTGGTTTCACAAATATTGATATATTTTTGCACAAACTCGATCAAACCTTGAGATAGTTTGAGCCTCCTGCAAAGTTGGAAGTACACTCTTTGAAGGATGGAGGGAGTACTCTACATTATCTATGCATGCGCCTCCATGCAATCCTCTATCAACGACATCTCCCATTGCCCAATCCTCTATCAACTACAGTAGTAAATGGCTAGCGAAACCTGCATGCATTGGTGGATGTTGTTTCCCTTGGATAGCCATGGCGAATAATTACGGGATGATTAAATACGAGGTCATTATGGGGTGAATTACACCCCGGAAACACCTAGGGTCCATGAACCAACTTACAAAGCCGCCAGGAGGGAGTAGGAAGTGCAAAACATTTTTTAGGTGGTGGTTGAATAAGTAAGAGGAACTGAGCTAAGGTTCATTTCATCGTCTCACAAGAGGAAATTATAAATTTGAGTAGAATGCAAAACTTTTAAGGGCAGTAACGTCATTTGTAGTAAAGCTGTGCAGCTCATCTGCTGAAGTTCTGAAAAGTAGGTGCTTTAGCAGGTGTTACCTGCAGCTGATCATAAATCTTACTTTACTAACCTTGCTTTTGCTGAAGGCTATCTTCACCCGAGGATGAAACTATCGCTGAAGACTAAAGAAGATGGGAAAATATGGCTCTCCTTGCCGTTGGGTTGCCACTTCTCAAAGCCTTCGGGGCCAGAGCTTAAGCTGTTCAACTCACTGATAGCACGCCAGTCAACGCTCCCAGCCTCGCTGAAGCACCTGGGTTTGAACAACATTTCTTGGAGGCCGAACATCCCCATCTTTGGTCTGCTGTCGCCTGTAAATGTCCTTGACTGTGGCCTACGCAATCTTGCACAGCCCCACCAATGATTGAAAAAGCTATGATAACGCAGATGTCAAAAGAAGTCTCACATGTTAATTCTTGGTTTTCTTCATCATGTGTTGAATTATCTTAGACCAAGTTAATATTTTATCAGTGAATTATTAGTTTGGTTGTGGAGAGCTACAACTTGATTTGCTTGCAGCCCTGGTGCAATACCTTCTGAATTTGAAAGTTTCAATACATGTTTTTAATACATTTGATTGTCTTTATTTTCCTATTGCTTGTACCGCCATCCCCCCTTTTCAAAGAAATTAAATGGATAACTTTATTGACAGGTTATATTTTATTGATATATCACTTGAAAAATATAATCATAAGTTTGTAGCAGTTCTACAAATACCAAAGAAGTGCCAATACAGATATTGTGGGCATTTTAACCTTTTTTTTAGGTGTATGTGGGCATTTTAACTATGCTATCGAGCACTATCACTGCATATAACTTTTTGCTAGCTATAGAAAGCACGGTGAATAATTTTGAAGTATCAAACTTGGTTGACCATTCTAATCACATGTGAAGTTTCGTTAAGGAATGAAAGTTGGTATTTCTTTGCCACGAAACCACCGATGTGAAATGGTCGATCAAGTTGACCCTAAAAGTTTAGATTCGTTTGGTTTTTTTTGCATTTTTTTTATTTTACTGTACTAACGGGTGTGCATGGAACCATGTTCCAAAAGTTCCTGTCCGTGGATATAGAGTACTTTACTTAACTGATTATTTCTTTCTTTTTTTTTTGAGCAGTCAACGTGGGGCGAGCATTGAGATGTTTAGATGGACAGTGGTATCCTCAACTCAAATCCTGGTGCTCGCATTATTTCTGGATTTATATCAGGATTTCCGACAATGCGCTTTCAGTGGGATGAGACGTTCCCGTTAATGACGAGGCGTCTACGGTGCTCAACACGGAAGCATTCATACATTTGCATAACACTTTGCAGAGTGCTAACGAGGGGGTCCGGGGAGGGAGAGAGGGAAGGGTGCATCAGCTACAAAACTGGCTAGTATTTGTCAAAGGTAGATCTTAGAACGCATGGTCATCTTAGGGCATCTCCAATAGTTTGTATGTTAGCTTGTTGGTAAAATATGTCATGTTATCAACTAACACCTTAACGTATAACAACTTCAATAGGTTGTACTCCCTTCATCTAGGTGAGTAAGTCATCTTAGGTTGTGCACCGTGACCAAAGAGAAGAGGAAAACGAGAGAACTTAATGCTTATTTGCTAATTAATAGCATTGCATGCAATGAACTAACCACTGCATGTCATGTTTGGTAGTCTCAAGTCATTAAAAATATGCACATCCCACATCTTTTATTGGTTGATATGTCAAGAAACAAGAAACGAGGTAGAAGTTAATGCACCGCGCCTAAGTGTTTTGGGATTATTTGATTTTCGTAAGATGACTTACACACCTAGACGGAGGGAGTATCTAATTTGCCCAATATGATGTGAGATAATGAATATGGTGCTCTCTTATTTAGAGCTTGTGCAAGGGGTGTTGGTTCATCTACATACAACCTTTCTCTCTTTCCTCATTTATTGTATGACACGTCATTAAAAATCCTATGTGGCAAAGTCTACCAACAACAATCTTACAACTATTGAAGATGCCCTTACATAATCCAACAGAGGGATTAGTGAATACTCCCTCCGGTCCTCTATTCTCTGCAGTTTGGATACCATGGATAGCTTCCCTCGTTTTTCTCTCGACAAAATTGCCCTTGGGTACATGCTACATGCATGGATTAAAAGCTGGGTTGTTAGAGCAACTCCGATGGGCCGACTCAAACAGATGGCGATTTTGTCCGCTTTTTGTCCATTTGAGTCGGCCAGGCGTACACAAACGTTCATATCCACGTTTGGGTCGGCGCGTGCGCCCAACGCTGGTGTTTAAGATCGAAAGGAAAAACGATGGAACTGTAATCTTTATTGATGGATGAAGTACACTTATATCAAGGGAATAGTCGCATCGTAGGGATGCGATGGTTTGAGGAGGCGCCGCTCTAGGGAAGAGGCGTCGTTCCAGGGAAACAACTGCCGTGATGGTTCCCACATCTGTGGAACCATCAATGAGATGGGGAGCGGGGATTTCCACTAATAACCGTCTGGTTATTATTTTCAACACTCCCCCTAATCACCGCTTGACATAAGAATACATCATTCGATTAAAGTCTCCTCCAAAAACCCTATGGAAAAAATATGAGAAGTAGTGTGGGATGTGCTGGTAAAACTCCTTCAAACCCAGTGGGAAAATAAGGAGAAAATGACCCAACATATAATGATTATTGCCTCTGTTAACTCGATATGAAGTATATTCATAGAATTTGGAGGACAATAAATATGTCGCATATACTTTCCTAAAAACCCCAGTGGGGAAAACTGAAAGTATGACATATGATCTCGTGTTGATATTACCTCATTAAAAACCTTTATGAGAACCTGTATAGTAAACTCATGAAGGAAAACAGAGTATAATATGATGCATTGAACAGGAACAGTTCAGGAAGATACCCGCCCTGATTCTTGCAAATTCGAAGCCGTCACATACCAATTCCATGAATATATTTCTGGAATGTAGAAGTTGGTAGAGACTTGATGAACAAATCATTCACATGATTTGACTTTGTAAGATATGCAATATAGTGATATTGCTTATTATGTAACATGTTTGCATCCGGGCAACACGAGCAACATTATCTTTGAGATGGTGGTTGGTGGATGTAGCCACGAGGTCAATTTCAAATACCCTCATGAGATGGCTACCACACCTAGCAGGAACACCAATCTTGTCTACGATTTGACATAGTAGGGATCTGATCGGTGTATCCAACAATATTGGTATCCAGATTTCTCTGAAAATGAAAGATTAGGACAAGATGTTTGATGCATTGGAGATATCGAAAGATATTCTTGAGTTTCAACCATTTGTATTTGGTGGATCCAATGCATGCACGGTGATATGGAATCTTAGGTCCCAACATCTTATTTCCATCTCCTCATGGTCTAAATGAATCTTTCTCTATGTCTAAAGAACGAACAACCATGGGAATTATAGATGGATAAGACTTGTCCACAATCAATCTATCCAATATTCTGGATATAGACAACATGGTGTACCATAATGCATGAGTGAAGGTGCTCGAGGTTTTGCTCAAATCCTTCGTCTCAAATTCCGCCATTTGACATGTACGGGTAATCATCAGCGTAGGAGTAATCCTTGTGCATAAAGAACTCACTACGTCAGTTGTACCAAATGTACCGACGATAATAATAAGTCATATGGTGGCTTATTAATTTTACACAATGTATGTTGCATTTTGCATTTTGATTCAGATATTAGATTCCATCGGGAACCATCTATATCTAAATCTAGTGATCCACATGGATATGTAATCACTACATCTATCAACTGCAGAGATAGATGATTTTGTGCTGGCAATGATATGAGTTATCAGAAAGAGATTCCACCTCTAGAGAATAGTTGAGTGTCTGTGTGAACCCTTGTGCTACAATACTTGTTCCCTGTTTCACCACTTTGTTGTTCTCAATCCTGTTTCCAGAAGAAAACTGGTGTAGGTATTGCTTATGAATACCTTCCCATTATTGAGCAAGATACTTCTACCTAGATTATACCCTTTGCATGAGTTCAGTCCGAGTGTTGTTCACACTTTGTCATGGCCATGGTCTTTGGATCTGAATCATTTGAAAGGTTTTTGCAATCTAGTTGAGAAATGTATGTCGACAATTGTAGACTTCCGGTTATATGATTCTCCAGAATCTATATATCAATATATAGTTGATGGAAATATCGTTACCCATGGTGACTGCTCGCGATTTCCCAATGCGATTGAGTCGGGTATTCCTATGTCCCGGTCATTGTGTGCACTATGACCTGGGTTGGTGGAGGTTTCCCGTCCACTGGGTGTATACTACCCATTAGGTGTCTGCCAACATGAAGTTGACTTGCATTTACTGATTCACAGGCCTTGATATCCTTGTTTGTGAGAAGCTGAATCCTGATGTACTTCTGCCATACATCTCTCCCTGTTGCTTTGAACGGGGAGTGGAGTGGATTTTGTTGGTACCTCCACTCTTTCAGGCGTACTTTTGCAGGATTGTAGGATTGTGTGACACCTTTATAATCAGTAAATGAATCTGGTAGGTTATTTGCAAAGTGTTGCAAATCTTCTGAACGTATGGTTCAGATCTTTGCGTACGTGGATTTGAGGCAAAAATGTGTTGACAATTCCACTAATTTCCTGGCATTCTTTATGGTACTTGAAATCTCCCCCTAATGCCTGGAAATGTTCCTCATTGAATTAGCATACTGACCTTGAATAACTCCCCATGCGAGGGGCTTGAGGTATTGACGGAAATACAGTTATTCCTCATATAGATCCCAACTATATGTTGAGGGGCCAATGATGTATGCCGGGTGGTGATATCGGTATGCAACCGAATTACCGCAGATGGGGAATACTTGGTATGTTTCCACGTATCAAAGATAGAGGGGAATAATAGTACGCAATTTGGTCATGAGCGTGTAAAACTGCATGACCCCAACGTAAAGTTGGTAAGTTGCAATTCCAAAGTAAAGATCATGCAATGAGCTTAATTCTTTGGATATAGGATTCTACCAAACCATTTTGAGTCTAGACATTAGGACAATTTGCTAAACTTCAATCCAAGGGCCATAGAGAAGGCACTCAAGGAGAATTCTACAATGTTATCCATTTGATTTGCTTGAAATCGATGTCAGGATAATGAGCCAATGGTTTCACGTGAAAAAACACACACACTTGGGACCATCATATAGATGTGTCTTTTAGAATCATGGAACACCTGAATAGTCTAGTCAATGGATGGGAAGAGCCACTTACCTCAACTTGATGCATTCAAGGAGTCTGAGTGGTTCAACGTAGACTTTAAGGTGTGCGAGCCTTAAAATTAGCTTTCCTGTGTCACTTGTAGTGCACACAAAATCCAAA